GCGTCGAAGGTTGATGCTGACCTAGAGTAGGACACCTGCAAGAGCGCAAATGCGCGCATCCTCGAATCAGCATGCACCATCCTACCTCTGCCCGGGTCCCCCCCCGGTCGCCGATGCCGGCCTCTTTCTCTTGCCGCCACCGGCGGCCGAACATGCAGGGGCAACGCCCGCTGCCACGCCCGTGGCGACTGCCGCTGGCGATGACGACGTTGGCGTCGTAGACCTCCGAGACCCTTGTTGCCCCCGCCTGGCGGCGGCCGCCGCCGTCGAAGGCGGCGACGACGATGCCGTCTTAGCCCCGAGCTGTGTTCGGTCGCTCGGGCGGCTTGCGTCGTCCCTGCAGCCGCGTCGCCGTCTCGGCGAGCCCCTCAAGTGCATGAGGCTGCTCTCGCTCCCTTCGGGTTGGTGCACCGCCGCCTTGTTGACGCCAGCGTGGTTGTTGTTGCTGCTGTTGTCCCTTGCCCCAAGCGAGGGCCAGGTGACGGCGGCAGGCGTTTCTGCAGTCCGGTGGCTCGTGGACATCGTCCCCTGGGTGGGGAGGTATGGAGAGAGAGGTGGGAGCAAAGGTTAGCTCGGGAGGGGGGGAGACATCTCGTGAAACGCGTCTTCACATTGGAATAATAACAAACGAAAATGCGTCGCTTTGAGGACCAGCCGTAAGTCGTCGCGCAGCGGTAGTCGAGCATAGTTCCGAAAACGATGCCGCAAATCAATATCGCGTTGTTGAAGCCGTCTCACGACCTTGTGCGGATGATGAAGCTAAGCGCCTTTGGGCGAGACACGCGCTGACCCCCAAGCTTGCCGGGTGCGCCAAGTCTGCAGAGAAGCAATCACATAGGCAGGTACCGATACTAGAGAAACAGCAAGGGGCAACCACAAACCTCAACGCCAACTGCAGACAGAAAAAAAAAATATATATATATATCACCTCCCCCAACAACAGAACAAAAAACAAAGTTCGGACTTGGACGCCTCGATAGCTGGCGACTGGAACAAGCAAAAAACAAAAACGAACCTGGGTTGCAACACCATCATCATCACCGGCTCCCACCCCTCCTACCCCCGTCCCGTCCGCTCCCGGAGGCAGCGACGGGGGCGTTAGCTGCCCCAGCGGGGGCACGCTGCCGCCGCTGCCGTCGCCAAGGGACGCCGTGGACGAAGACGGCGTGTCGCCCGGGTCTGTGCTAACGCTTGCCCTGGTCGAGGAGAGGTCGCGGCCTTGGTTGCTGTTGTTGAGGAGGTCGTGGAAGGGGCCGCCTAGCGGAAAGGCGTCCCCGGCGGCGGCGGCGGCGGCGGCGGCGGCGGGTGTCGGTGTGGGTCTCATCGCCCGCAGGTGTCGCATGTTTGGCACCTGGAGCCGAGGGGCAGCGAGAGGAGACCGGGGGCCCGCGTTATAGCAGATCGTCGCGTGAAGACACACAAACGGCTTGAATCTATGGGTCTGTTGGTTGGGATTTGTCTCGAGAGAAAATGTTGCTGCTGATGGTGAGGAAGCGCGGCGTTGTTGGTGAGCCGCGGTGGGCAGCCCCGCGTCAGCGCTAACAAGCCGATGTCTTCTGAAGTGCATAGCCAGGTGACAGCCGTTTTTATGAGGTCTCTGTTGTTTTGTTACATGTACAACGTCATTCTCACGGCCGACACGGACGGGCCCCGTGCCATGTAAACATGTAAACGGATGTGCCTGACAGCATACCGGCTTCCACGGCCTATCGCTATCGCGGTGGTTCCGTAGCTGTGCCCCAACATTCTCGTGTACAACGCGTACCGTTCAACTAGTTGTCGTTCGGGTACTGCGAACAGATATAGGATTGTCCATATGGTAAAATCAACATACGAGATCACTCCCACAGAACTGTGAAGTCGTGCCCACGAAGGCGAGCGTTTTCATCTTTGGCCAAACGTCCACAGGTGTATCATCTACGCCTTGGCCCATGTACAACATCTGCAAAATCTTCAGGTTCGAAGTGGGAAGTGACCGTTTGGCACCTTCATGTAGTGCCGTTTCGTGGTCGCTCGCTCTCGCCCGCTGCGCCCCCCCCCCCGTGCACCGCCTCCTCCTGCTCCTCCCGACCCCTGCCCCCCCCCTTGCCCGCCTCCTCCGCTAGTAGTCTGGTTATCGCGACCCGTTGCCCTCTCGCTCCCCGTCGAATCTGCTTGCAAATGAGCATCACGAGCGCTCTCTAAGAAGTCCGACAAGTGCCGTGTCGACAGGAAAACTTGCACACATTCACAGCAGTCCCGCCGAGCTTCCGTTCCTTCAGCGGCCGCATCAGGAGCAGCTGCCCGCTCCTCCACCTCGTCCCTCCTTTTTTTTATCTCTGCTCACCCATCCAAGCCAGCCTGTTCACGTAGCCCGGGATGGGCTTCCCCACCAGCTACTGCTGCTGTACACATAAATTGTACAGGTTTCAAAAAAGCAGTCTATATAAAAATTCATCGATTCAGACCATGACTTAGAACGTCAAGTTCTCCATGCAGTGCACGCGCCGGATCTATTGGCGAAGGTGCGTACTACTGGATGTAAAACCAGGAGATAAGATGACGAACGGTTTCATGTGTCATGGTACAGATTTAAACGGTCGGAGTATCTCGCGGAGTGTTCGGAACACTGCTGCTGCAGAGTTAAATTGAACATGGCAATCGTACTTTGCTACACGAAAACCCTTGGTGGATGTGCAAGCACACTCACCGGGCCTGGACGCTGCGGCGTAGTAGACGTCGTCGTCCCAATCCTCGTCGTACCCATCATCGTCCCGGCGCTCTTCTTCTTCCTGGTGGTGGTGGTGGTGGTGGTGGTAGCCGCGATGCATCTCCTCAACGCGTAGCTCCAACCTCGTCGAGATACCGACGCAGACCCACCGCTGCCTTCTCTCTCTCTTGGGTACAACTGCAGCGGCGATATTCTTGGGTCAGTAGCGCTTGTAGCGCGCGATCACAACCGGGAGTGGCTTCACAGGCAGCCAGGCTTCACAGCAGCAGCCCCAGCCAGAGAGTCAACAGGCACCACTCTCGATACAATCCATTTTGATGCGCGAAGCTGCGATAGACCTGTTGGTCGTGTTTGAAATGTTGGGCGGCGTGACCTCCCACCAAATGCAGCAGTAGGCGATCCGGGTGCCTGCTGTGCTCTGTGTGATGGGGAAACAAGTGCCTTCTTCAGGCGTCAACACTCAGAAACTCCGGCCTGCTGTCTCTATGCAAGCTTAGGTATAAGCCGACGGACCGTGTGCAGTAGGGTACTGTGTGGCGTGGTGGTTGATACTGAGAGACAACGCAGCTGGGAATAGGTTGGCATATGGGCAGGGGGTAGGGGTTCCGCGGACCATCCTGTTGCTGGGCCGCAATGCCGCAATGGCAGGCAGCAGCACATCACAGAGCAGCACCAAAGGCGCCCCGAGAGAGCGTCAGAGAGAGAGAGTGCTCGAGAAACTTCAGGGGATTGCTGGGTAGGAGCGCGTGGCAGTGAGTCTACTTATCCAGACGCCCGCGCGGCCCATCAGCCGGAGATCCTCCTGTGGGTCTGTCTCCACAGCGGCGATATTTCCGAGGTGAAACAAGTTCATGTTCTTCCTACGAATGCCGATTGAGCGTGGGTGCAAATTCTGGTGAAAACGGGCGGATAATGCCCGGTGCCATGCCTACCAGGGCAGCGACAGTTAGCGTGGCTGTATCACTGGACCAACAGTTAGCGGGAATCGATTATGTTGGCAGGCCTCAATTGTCATGGTTAGTGAGCTTTTGGTATCGAGCAACACGATGTGCGTACCACCAAGGGACGGAGAGCCAGCCACCAGGCAAGGTCGATCTTACGCGAGAGTGTACTTGTACACGCTGCAGGGGATCCAGCGAGAAGCGGGCCCGTCCACGTCGCGGCGGGCCCGAGCTGTCTCGCACGAGCAGGGAAATGTTGACACTATGATGCCTGGTGGATCACATGCTTGACACATCCCTTGTCCGTTCATCCCACTTTGTTGATAAGAGCCGGTGCTCGTCTCTCTCTCTCTCTCTCTCTCTCTCTCTCTCTCTCTCTCTCTCTCTCTCTCTCTCTCTCTCTCTCTCTCCCTCTCTCTCTGTCCCTCTCTCTCTGTCCCTATCTCTCTCTCTCTCTCTCTCTCTCTCTCTCTATCGCTCTCTCTCTCTGTAGCCCTCACGACTCCTTCTTAATTAAAGAACGGCCGCGTAGTCGCGTAGTGTGTACAGAAGTAGATTTTTGTTGTGTGTCACAGCATGCGCAGATGCCCGATCGATATTTATGGGCGTGTGCGGTTCATGTTTGTGTGTTCCTGCATTATTAATTATCAGGAACGGACTGCTGTAGGCCGATGTTAAACAATGAACACCCGAGGCCTAAGGAGTATCGACAATGCGTGGCTGGTCCGATGTTCCCGCGTAACCTCGCCGGACAAACCCTCTCCACGTTTGTCATATCTGCATCACACCCGGATTCCGTAAGCAGGTACATTGTGCTACAACAGAACACAAAGCACGAGAGAGGTTAGACACGAAGCAGAGAGGCACAAGGTCGCGCGGGGGGGGGGAGGCACAGCGCGGCAAAAGAGGGCGGGGAATCGGCGGCCGTCGCTGCCGCCGAAGAGGAGACGGAGGTCGACGCGGCGCTCTTGCCGAAGGGTGGCAGGCGGGGACGGCGGCGGGCGGGAGAACAACCAGGCGGTTTCAGACCCATGGCCCCCGCCGCGGACATCGACTTGCAAAAGCACGACGTTGAGGTTTTGCATGGTGAGCCACAACGTTCGATCACTTATTTTGATGACACACTTTCGAAGTGTTTGTGTATTATGCGTGGGTGGCCCATGCCGCAGGGGGACTACGGCCCGAGCACAAGGCGCAACAGTGTATGCAGTGATTGTTGTGGGAGTACAGTGTCAGAATCCGCTGCACTCGCTTGTCCACGCATAGGTGAGTTGGCGCATCTGTATCGCGCGTCGTGGGTAGAGCCTGGGACGCTTTTGAAAAATGCTGCCCAAGTGGGCCAGATAGATGGCAGCGACATCTACTGATTCATGTACAACTCATCGCCGATATCAAGTACACGTAGAAAAGAAAGTGCACGGCTTTTGCCCAGGGCTTCTCCCCGTCAGTTGACGTTATCAAGCTACGTTGGGATGCCAGGTGGTACCCTGGGGATGTCAGGGGCGGAGGCTTCGTATATTTCATTGCCATGATCGGTGGGATTTTCCTCTTCCTCTCTCTATAAGCTAGAGAAGCTCGGCTCAACCAGTTCGCCGGGTGGCTATTTAGAACCTAACCTTCGAAATCCTGGGGGTTCGTTTTGATGATTTTCGCCACCACGGCGGAAGCTCGTAAATTGCTTTGACACAATGTCCTTGCTTTCGAGGGTCCCTTCTCGGTATCCTCTTGGGGTCGCTTGTGCTTTCGCGTGCATGCGCGCACGTTGGCCAATGCTCCAGCTTGTTTGCTCTCTCTCTCTGTGTCTGTTTGTCTGTCCCTCTCTCTCTCTCTCTCTCTCTCCCTCTCCCCCGCTCTCCCCCTCTCCCGACCTGCAGTCGACGAGGAATTCCAAATGGCGCTGCTGCGTGTGGTGAGTCGGGGAGGGTCACCGTCGCCTCCGCCACGGCACCCGGGCCGCACCCGGTGGTCGTTCTTGAAAGACGTTCCCCGCGACCTGCTCCCCGGAGGTCTGAAGGCGGCATCCGAGCGGGGGCATAGAGGGCTCCCAAAGGCGGCCGATGCGAGCACACGGCCAAGCGGAGGAGGGGAGGGAGGGGGCCAAGACAAACAGCGGGCCACCCACCAACGGCAGCAGCAGCAGCAGCAGTCGCGAGACGATGCTTCGCGCAGGGATCGAGTCAGCGTGGAAAGCGGACGACGGGCACAGCAAGGAGGAGACCATGTTAAGGGAATTGGAGCAGACGCTGCCGGTCGCGCCGAGCCGACTCCACCCGCCACCGCCCTCTCAGGGGTCGGCGATACCCAACCCGACGTTGCCACGGCGGCGGCGGCGGCAGCAGCAGCGATATATCCGAAGACTCCCCGGGTTAAAGCTGACGGCGATAGGGATGACGACTTCTACAGCGGTACCGATAGCGACGATCCCTCGACAGTACTCTCCCCGACGACGGCAGCGCGCATGCGATGCCCGGTCGAGGTAAAGGCGAGCCGCACGGGGCGTTCCGCCACGGCAAACACTGGGGGGGCGGGGCGGGCGGGGGCAGCGGCGGCGGCGGCGGGGCAGGCTGGCCTGGGCGTGTTCTGCAAGGCCGGGCTTAAGGTGGGAGACGTGGTGTTCGAGGAGGAGGCGTTGCTGAGGGTTTCCAAGGAGGCGGTGGGACGGCGGCCTTGGGAAGCGGTCGCGGCCGAGGGGCGCTGGAGCAAGAGCTGGGGTGTGTCGGCGATGGACCTGCTGCAGGTGGTGGCCTTTGAAGGCGCCCCTCCCTCCGTGCAGGAGCGAGTGCTGCAGCTGGTGAGTCATGTTGTTGGAGGACGATGTTGTTAGGATGAGAGAGAGAAACGAGGCGGGTTCAGCCGGGCTTCCCGCAGCTATGCAGATACCTGAGGTCAGTAGCGTGACGGCCGGGTTCGTACCGAGAGAAGTTGAGAGCCCTGCAGAGTGCTGCTGGTGAAGCAGGGAAGAGGAGACTTGGGCTCTCGCGGGGCTTTGGTGTCCCGCCTGCCGTGCGACCGTGGTTGGCGGAAGCAGGCTGCAAGCACGCCACGTTCCCAGCCTCTTGGTTTGAAAGAGTGCCTGCGGTATACCGTGCGGGTTTGAGAGTGAGGGGAGCATGCGGGATCTGGCGTGTGGCGGAGAGCTCCCAAGCCGGGCGGCTCGTCGTGGCGTCGTGTCGTCTCTGTTCATGCCGCTCGTGCTGCTGGCTATTGCTGCTACTGCTCTTTGTGGCTTGTTACCGGCCATTGCCGTTGCCGTGTAGCTGCGTATGATGGTACACCTCGATTGATTTCGAGTCCCTGTTGGTCGATGAGACATACACCCTTACCTGCACGCGCGTGCAGTTCGCGCCAGACCCCGAAGGCGTCCCTCAAGGCCGCCTCCATGCGTTGGAATTCTTCTTGGACAAGCTGTGGACAGCTATGGGTGCGCTCCGTCCCCCCGCTGCTAGCAGCAGCAGCTGCGTTGCGGCAGCGGCAAATGGGAAAGGCGCCGGGCGCCTTCAAGACGCCGGGAGCCGTGGTGGTGATGGTGGTGATGGGGGGGAGATCGGCAGGAAACGGCGGTCGTTGCTGATGAAGGTGCTGATGATCTGCGACGCGAACATCTTCGGAGAGGGAGCTAACGAAGGCGAGTTGTGAAGGGGGCAGAAGCGTGTGTACTACTATTGTAGAAGTACGCCACATGCCGGGAGAGATGTGCCCTCGCGAGAGCGAGAGCCGATTTGGTGCACGTAATCCGCGAGTGGCGTGAGCTGTACACACCCAGGCGCAAGCTGTTGCGGACCATGTCAGTCATCGGACGCTTCGCAGAGGGGGAAGGGGTACCGTAGAGGGGAGGAGTTTACTGGCGTTTCTATGGCGGAGGGTATATCTCGAATGGGTGGTCTTTCTGTGCGTGTATTTATTTTTCCTTAATGTAGATAGGAGACATTTTTCTTGTACCTGAACATCTCGTTTGGGACTTTTGGGACGCCTGAGCTCGTTCTCGAAGTCCGTAGATGCTCGCAGATGAAGCAGTGTCTTTTCATGCCTCTCTCGTCCGTCTACTTTTTTTGGTTTGTCTACCTTTGTTCGAAAGGAGAAACTGCACGCCGATTTTCTCGCGCGCACGCACATCTCACAAGTCCCACGTCGCGCCACATCTACAATTACACGAACTGGTTCTGCTCTCTCTCTCTCTCTCTCTCTCTCTCTCTCTCTCTCTCTCTCTCTCTCTCTCTCTCTCTCTCTCTCTCTCTCTCTCTCTCTCTCTTCTCTCCTTCCCTTTATGTATTTGTCTGTTTGCCTGTATGTCACTCTTTTTCCCTTTCTCCTTCTCCACCTCATTTTCTCCGTCTTTCTCTCCCTCTCTCCTTCCCTCTCTTTTTACTCTCGTCCTTCCTTCCCTTTATAATTGTCGCTGTCGCTGTTTGCCTGTCTGTCGCTCATTCTCCCTGTCTCCTTCTCCCCCTCCCTATCTCCCTCTCTCTCTCTCTCTCTCTCTCTCTCTCTCTCTCTCTCTCTCTCTCCCCCCCCCCCTTCCCTCACTCCCTCCTCATCTCCCGCTCTCTTACGTCTATTTCGCGTGCTTGCTCTTTCCCACTGCCCGCAACATCTGTTTTGGTTCGTGGAACAGAGAACGGGCCTCGGTCACTATTCTGGCTGGGTTGCAGGATAAACCACAGCTGCCTCCCGAACTGCAGGCGAGTGCGATGGGCGGACGGTCGTCTTACAAGCGCGTGGTGAAGTGTCCTTGCCCACCCACCCCCACCCCACTAGGTTGGGTGTAGCACGTGAAAATGTTTGTGGTAGAAAGATGGAGCGTGGCGATAAGCAAGTGAGCGGTATGATGACATGAAGAAGACAACAGGCACAAGGAGACAGATGAGCAAGACAAGACAATCCTTGTGGGAGAACCACAGATGCTGTCGAAACGTAGACAGAGAGGCTACGGGAAGTGGGCGTACGCCCGCCCCCCGTCCCACGTCCCACGTCCCAACACGTTGTAACAGCACAACATATATCGGTCTAGTGGTGGTGGGGCACTCACTAGTGGTCGTGGGGCACTCACGTACGTACCCCCGAAAGATCGACAGGATCTGTAGGTGTACGCACTTCCCCGGGTGTTGAACCAACCACCTTGGTTTCCCTTTGCTGGGCCACGGCCACCGCTACCGCTACCGCTACCGCTACCGCTACCGCTACCGTTACCGCTACCGCTACCGCCGCCGCCTTCGTCTTCGGCTGAGGGATCCCTCTTCGAGAAGAACGACCTACAGAACGATCTACAGATGTTGTTTTTTGAGATCTGGAAGGCGTTGTAGGGAGGCACCGGTCGGAAGTTGCCGAGGAGGCGGGTCTTCCTTGGCGCGTGCGTCAGATTCCCGGAAAATAGCCCTAGGACGGTGGGTGGTCCGAGAAGACGGGGCCAGGCGAGCGAAACGTTCGGGGTTTACCCTCCCCCCTCCGCAGACAGACAGGATAGGGACACCATTTTTGATCCACGTTTAGTAAAAAAAACAGGAAGGAACGAATGACCATCGGTGATCGGTCCTGTGGGAACAACGCTCCGTCCTCTCGAGGACGCGTAGTCGATGGTCTAACCGCTAAGGCCTGCATGCAAAACATGAGTACCCCCCCCCCTCCGACACGAGTGTTGCACCCTCCCCATCCCCACACACACACATTCGAGTCTCCTCCCGTTCATCCACCACGACTGCGAATGGCGGCGTCTGTACCTTGCCCTGAACCCTTCGGCTCGATTCGATTCGATTCGATTCGATTCGATTTGGTCCGGTTCGATTCAGCTACCACGTGCTCGACGGGAGGATGGTGGTGAGAGCGATCGCGGATGTGGAGCAGGGGGAGGAACTGCTGGTGTCCTACCTCGCTTTCGATCACGTTGCGAGGCCTACTCCAGATCGACGCCTGCGTCTCCTGGAAACCAAGTGAGTTGTTATTAAGTTGGGGAAAGGGTGGGTGGGGGGGACAACGAGGGGCGGGGGGGAGGGTGTGCTAGTTTATGCAAGCGCATGCCGTAGTCCTTAGACCATTGACCTCGCATCCCTACAATGCCGGGACGGAGCGAGAGGAGGGGGGGGAAGGGGGGGCACCGGAACGTTGTCGTTTTCTTGCGGCGGCGGTGGCGTTGGAGGGATCCGTCCTCTTGTGGACAGGGTCTCCACGGCCATGATTTTCCTTCCCCCAATTGGCGAGCATCCAGATACACACACCGTGCCCACCACCACTGTTCGAGCTCCCCGGCGTACACTCCAAATAGCTGCCGCCGGCTAGCGACAATGTTGGCTCGACTCGTCTCAACTTTGACGAACTATGTATTGCCGTGGCGATGCGGTTTCGAACCACAAACGCGAGGCGTTTTGTTCGGTGTTCACAGACGTTTTGTGTTACTGTGCGGGTGTTGTGGCTGAAAATAGTATTGTCTCCTCCCATTGATGCACTATCCCCGACCTTCAAGCCCAACCGCCGGCCGTCTCTCCTGCCTTGGTCGTGCTCGCCAACGTCTCTCCTCTCTCATGGTTACACGCTGGACCAAACAAAAAAAACGTGTGTGAACATCATCGACGACGAAAAGGTTTTTCGAGTGCCACTGCAGCCGCTGCGACGCCGAGCATGACATCTGGCGGGGCTTCCGCTGCCCCCGCTGCCACCAAGGAGCCGTCCACCCGTCGAACGGCAACAACGACTGCCCGAGGCCACCCCGAGAGCAACAACAGCAACAGCAACTGCAGCCGCAGCAACTACAGCAGCAACAGCAGCAGCAGCAGCAACGGTTCTCCTCGTCGCCTTCCTGTTCCCGTCCTGGTTCTTCGCCCTCTTCCGGTGTCGGCGGAATCGGCGGGGCCCCCGCCCCCCCAGCCCCCCTTGCCCGGCAGTGCGTTTCGGCTTGCGCGGCCTGCGGGCTTGCGCCTACCGCGGCGTGGCTAGAATCGGTGGAGGTGGTAGAGAAAGAGCTGGCCTGTTGGCTGAACGGGGCTTGCGAGACGATGCAGCCGGCGGCGCTGCTGAAGGTGAGGGCAAGTGGGGAGGGAAGGAGGGAGCGGCGGGTGGATAAACGAGCGGTGCAAGGGCGTGTGTTACTGTCCCCAACCCTCTTGTCTTGTCTTGTCTTGTCTTGTCTTTGTCTGCTATGTTTGTTAGCGATTGCGATAAATGGCGTAACGAAAAAAGAGTGTGTCGCGGTAAATGGCACGAGAAAATCCATGGTTTGTGTAGTGTGAGCCTCTTTCCGCTCAATATTGTTGGTACTACTACTACTGCAGTCACGGCCTCCCCTTCCCCCCCCTACCGCCGGTACCGCATCATGTTTGCTTCGTCTGCGTACACGTACGTGCAAGCCCTCTTCAACCTTCTTGCGTTTGTTACCGCAGTCCGCAGCCAATGACGTCATACTTTGTTGCGCGACTCGTAATGTTGTTTTCTTTGCTCGTTTCCCCCCCCCCCCCAACCCCCCCCCCCCCCCACCCCACCACCCAAACACACCCCCA